CACCGAGATGATAGAAGCCTCTGACAAGGTCTTCTACCTTCTCTGGGAACCAACCCCCAGAGGGGAGCATCCAGCTTATCTAGGCTGAAATCCCCACCAATTCTTTCCATCTGCTCTCCTTCTCCCTAAAGATGCTGCCTCTCCCTCCTCTCCGGCCAGTCTCTCCCTCTCCAGTGGAACCTTCCCATTGATAGTGAAACATGCTTAAGATTCTCCCATCTTGAATTGTATAGCTATGACAGTTAACATTTATTGAGCACTTACCGTGCATCGGGCTTTAAGGTTAAGATAAAAACCGAATTACAGATGTCTGAACTCCACAGCCCCTTCTAACTCCCACATACACGATGTCTCTGCTTCCTTTCACAGGCAAAATTCTTAAAAGATATGTATGTATTCCGCTGTCTTCATTTTTTCATCTCCAAGTCACTCTCTAATCCACTCCAGGCCGCCTCTCTCCTGCCCCAGCACTTCACCAAAACGGTTCTAGCTAAGTGATCCCCATGTTGCCAAATCCCTCTTTTTTTCAACCGTTCTCCTTCCTGACAACCATACTCTCTCAGGCTTCCTCCTTTGTCTAGCCCAGTGGTTCTCAACCTTTTGGCCCTTTAAATACAGTTCCACATGTTGTGATCCAACCATAAAATTATTTTCGTTGCTACTTCATAACTGTAATGTTGCTACTGTTACGAATCGTAATGTAAATATCTGATATGCAGGATGGTCTTAGGCGACCCCCGTGAAAGGGTCGTTCGACCGCCAAAGGGGTCTCAACCCACAGGTTGAGAACTGCTGGTCTAGCCACTCCTTCTGACTCTTTGCCAGTTCATTTTCCTGTTTGACCATTAAATGTTGGCACTACTCAAGTCTCAGGCCCAAGCCTTCCTCTTCTTTAAAATCATGAGGTGGTATGACTAAATGGTATCACGATGAATTTTTCATTAGTATATTTTTATGTTGCTGTATCTCACAATTTAGTATTTTACATATTTTATTGGTGTGTATTTACATTGGTTTAAAAGTGTAAAGCATTTCCAGCACCCCAGGAAGTTCCTCCAGACCAGGGGTGGGCAAACTTTTTGACTCGAGGGCCACAATGGGTTCTTAAACTGGACCGGAGGGCCGGAACAAAAGCATGGATGGAGTGTTTGTGTGAACTAATATAAATTCAAAGTAAACATCATTACATAAAAGGGTATGGTCTTTTTGTTTTTTAGTTTTATTCATTTCAAACGGGCTGGATCCGGCCCGTGGGCTGTAGTTTGCCCACGGCTGCTCCAGACCCTTCCCTAGTCAATGCTGCGGCATAAAAATTAACCTTTATTCTGACTGCTGTCCGTACAGAGACTTTTCACCTGGTCTTGAACTTCCTAGAGTATATGTGTCCTTATACAGTGTATCACTCTTATGTCTGTTTTTTTTTCCTTTTATAATTGTGTCTGTGACATTCAGGATCATTGTTGTGCGTTGCAGTAGTTCTTTTTCAGTGCTGTGTAGTATCTCATTATACAAATATACAACATTTTATTTTTTTTAAACAAGTCTTTTAAAATTGATTTCAGAGACAGAAAGTGATAGGGAGAGAGATAGAAACATCAATGATGAGAGAAAGTCATTGATCCGCTGCCTCCTGCACTCCCCTACTGGGGGTTGAGTCCGCAACCTGGGCATGTGCCCTGACCTGGAATCAGACCCATGACTTCCTGGTTCATAGGTTGTTGCTCAACCACTGAGCAACACCCGCCAGGCATTCCTCCTTATTCTTTAGATTGCAACTCAAACATCACTTCTTCAGAGAAACTTTACTTGATTACTTGTCTGGGTCAGATTCCTTATCATCCACCCTCATAAAATCAGTTTTTCATACACTTATCATAGTCTTTCATTCATATTCATTTTTGTGATTTAAAAAAACTGATGTCTGTCTCCCCCATTAGACAGTAAGCTCATTGACGGCAGGATCCCGGTCCTTTATCTGTTCTCCCTGTGTCCTCAGCACACAGACACTCGGGAAATATTTGATGGGTAAATGAAAGGACAGAAAAGAAAGGGATTTGGAGAAGAAGAACTTAATTCTAGTCTCAAGCCCACTACTTGCTCTCCGTGAGACTGGACGAGGTCACTGTGCCCCAGTTTCCTCATTTGTCAAGTGGGGGTGAAGTTACTCAACCTGCTTAATTCACTGGGTTGTGTAAGGATCCCATGAGCTGTCATTTGAAAAGCATGAAACATTCCACAGATGTGAGGGTGATTTGGGTTCAGAGAGAGAGAGAGATAGAGAAAGGCAGACACCACTGAGAGAGCATCACAGCTGAGGAGCGACGGGCTCGGGACTGGCGTGGGGAAGGCCGCAGCCGTGGACAGAGCGATCAGAATTGAGTCCTGTTCTGCATGTGTGTCTGCTTGGCCACTTCTCTGGGGCCCTCTGTGTACGCTTGGGGGTCTGTGAGTGCTGCTTGCCTCACCTCCCATGATTGTGAAAAATTTGGATTTGTCTACTGGAACGAGCTAAGATAGGAGAGGATGTTAGAAGATGGACGAGGAAGTGCAGTTAGGGTGCGTGTTACGTTTGTTGTCCGCAAGAGGGCTGTGTGTCTATAGGTAGAGATGTGTGGGTGTGCGCCGTGGGTCTTTGTGGTGGTGTGGGGAAGCAGTGTCCAGCCATGCCAGAGAGGCTGTCCTCGGAAGCTGCTCTGTGTGCACCCCTTTCTCCCTGAGGAGGCCCCCACACTGGAAGCTTCCCCTGCCTTAGTTTCCTCCTTTTGGAAGTCCAATCTACTTCCCCTGCCAGGACATCTGAAGGCCGGGACACTGCCCTCTAGTGGGTGTGGAGCATACGGCCAGCCCAAGCCTCCTCCAGCCCGAGGCTGGAACCCACCTCTGAAACCCAGCCTGAGGACATGCAAAGTCCCACAGCTGAGGTCTGGTGGGCAGGGTGAAAATGCGCAGGGGGCAGGAAACAGAGAAGGAGCCCTGACTGCCTACAGAAGCATGAGGACAACAGCTGGAGGTGAGGGCCTCTCTTCATCTCTTATCTCTGGTTGCCCAGCGTGTTCCTGGTCTTTCTTGGTTCCTGTTTCTCCACTTGGTCCTTCGGTCCTGCTCTTGTTCTCATAGTCCCTGGCCTCAAGGAGCTGCTGGTCACTACTCATGCCTGAAGGGCCTTGAGCAGAACGGACCTTCTAGTCTGTTCCCTGGGTGGGCACTGACTATGCCCTGTGGAGTCAGGGAAGGCTTCTTGGAGGAGGTAATGTATGAGGAGGGTCTTGAAAGATGAGTAAGCCTTCAGATGGAGTCCAGAGAAGGCATGGAACTATGGATAAGCCTGGTGTGTCTGCAGAACGGGAGAAGGGCATGGTGGCTGGACGATGGACTGGGGTGAAGGGGAGGTGAGGATGGAAGGCAAATTGCAAAGGCCTATGGGGTTGGGTTGACTTTTACCAAGAGGCACTGAGGAATGAGAGAAGGTCTTTAAGAAGGAGACTGGTCAGAATTACATAGCACGGACTGAAAATGGGGAGACACTGCAGGGCTGGGGGGGGGGGGCCCGCGGGAAGACCCATTGAAAGGCTGTTGTTTGGGCAAAGGAAGAGGAGGCCAGTCCTAGGGCAATGGCGGAAGGATGGAGAGGGGCCAGATCTCAAAGGCTGCTCTTCTCTGGGGCCTCTGTGTCCCTGGCAGCAAAGCTGAGGCTAAAGGTCCCACATCAGTCAGTTCTGCTGGAACTTGGCACTCTGCCTTCTATACCCAACACACTCCGGGGTCTCTGCATGCAAATGGAGAAGGGAAGATGTGTGGGAGCAGGGAGGGAGGGGAGAGGAGGGGAAGGGAACGAGGCCTGGGGCTGTGGGTTGGTTAAGGAGCGGTAAGGCCCAAGTAGACTTGTCCAGCCCCCACTGCGCCTCCTCCGGCCCTGCAGAGGAAGGGTTAATATGCGTCACCTCCCTCCCTCCCCTCCTCAGGTCACCTTCTAGGCCCTGGAGACTTGGCTGGTGGCTCAAGTTCCTCAACCAGTGGCCCTGAGTAATCAGAGCCCACAGAGGGGCCGGGGGCCTGGGGGAAGGGAATGAGAAATTAGGGACAACGGGGGCCTTAGAGACTGAGGGGCTGGGCGGCATCTGTGAGGCTGAGGGTTTGGGGGGATACCCAGGTTGGTTCCCAACACTCCCCACCTGACCCAGGACCCGGTCTCTGCTCTGATCTCAGATTCTTCCACCCACCAGAAGAGAATTCCTAGAGCTCCTCTCCTGGACTGTTGGGCAGTGGGCAAGCTGGGAGGGGGAGGGGTGATCTATTAGGAAGCTTTTCAGCTGCAAGAGATGGGGTCCCTCCCCCTAGTGCTGGGAACTGGCCATAAATGAGTCTGTGGTCAGTGAGAGACCTGTGCTAATGGAACCTGGGCTGCCCCCCAAGCCACAGAGGGAACGGAAGAGGGGAAAGTGACCTAAGTACAGCTCAGCATCGGGGAGGGTGCTGACCTGAAGCCGAGATGGGTGAGGGGACTGAGCGGAGGAGGAATGGGGTCAGGGACTGGCTGGAGGGAAATTGGGAAGTCAAGGGAGTGTGACTGCAGGAGAATTGGGGGTTCAGGAAATAACTGAAAGTAAATTGGGGTCAGGACAGTGATGGAAAGGAAACAGAGAATCCAAAGGAATGAGTAGAAGAGAACTGGACTGGGGTATAATGGATATTGGGAGAATTGGGGAGTCAATGAAATAATTGGGGGGGATTGTGAGTCAGGGGGAATTGGAGAGGAATTAGAGGTCTGAGAGAGTGCCAAGGGGGTGTGGGGGCTCAGATATGCCAGAGGCCTGGCTGGACCAGGGGGGAGTGAGGGAGAGGACCCTGAATTGGGGTGGGAAGGCTGAGGGGATGCTGAGGAACAGATTGGAGGATGAGAGGGAGCTTGAAAGTGTGTGTGTGTGTGTGTGTGTGGGAGAGAGAGAGAGAGAGAGAGAGAGAGAGAGAGAGAGAGAGAGACGGGAGGAGCAGGGGCTTTTGCTGGCTTGGCAGAGAGCAAGGGACTATCTAGGATCTAGGTCCCGTCCCACCTGGAGAGGTGGGTGCCAGGTGCCCCTAGGATTCCCCAGATTTCCATTCTGTCTTCAACCCTCTCATTCCTGCTGGAGCTGGTGATGAAAAAAGGGGCTCCGGGCCCCCTCCTCTCCATCAGCCTCCCTTTCACCCTGCCTTCAATTATTCATCAGCCCAGACACCCGCCCTCCCTGGCAGGGCAGGCCGAGCCTCTCTCCATGCCCCGCCCCAGCTCAGCCACACTGCCACACAGGCCCGATGAGGAAGGACACGGCCAGGGCCAGCCCTTGGCGGAGACCTGGCAGGAGGGCTGGTGGCTGGCCCTGTCAGACCCTGCCTGGGTCCACATCTCCTTCACCTTTCTCCTGCCAATCCCCTGGTGCCAGGCAGCCCCTGGTGAAGATGCCAATCCGGATCTTCTGCTCCGTGTCATTCTCCTCTGGAAAGGAGGCCCCCGGGCCCTCGGGAGATGTTCAGGGTCCCCAGCAGCAGCAGCAGCAGCAGCAGCAGCAGCAGCAGCAGCAGCAGCGAGACAGCTCAGAATCAGAAGAAGAGGAAGAAGAGAAGGAAAAGGAGGCACCCAGGAAGGAGGCCAGAGAGGGGGATCTGCCCGAGGACTTGGTGGCCTTCGCCAGCAACTGCACCCTCCATGGCCCCAACCACATATTTGTGGCAGGGGGTCCGGGGCCGAGGCAGGCCCTGTGGGCGGTGGCCTTTGTCCTGGCACTGGGGGCCTTCCTGTGCCAGGTAGGAGACCGAGTTGCCTATTACCTCAGCTACCCTCACGTGACCCTGCTGGACGAGGTGGCCACCTCGGAGCTGGCCTTCCCCGCGGTCACCCTCTGCAACACCAACGCCGTGCGGCTGTCCCAGCTCAGCTACCCTGACCTGCTCTACCTGGCCCCTATGCTGGGGATGGACGAAAGTGACGACCCTGGGGTGCCCCTGGCCCCCCCGGGGCCCGAGGCCTTCTCTGGGGAGCCTTTTAACCTGCACCGCTTCTACAATCGCTCCTGCCACCGGCTGGAGGACATGCTGCTCTATTGCTCCTACTGTGGGGGGCCCTGCGGCCCTCACAACTTCTCAGTGGTGAGTGGGGACCCGTGCCCGGCCTGGCACCCTGAGAGTGTCTGCCACGGCGCACCCTAACCCTCACTTTCTGGGGCTGGGGCTGGCGGGTCCTGCTCCTCCCCCACCTCACCTGGACCGCCCCCCCTCTGTGACATGTCTCAGAGAGGCCTGGCCAGGGCTCACCCAGGAGCCCCAGGGTCTGGAGCTGGGCTTCTGATCTCAGTACCGCTGTTCCTGTTAAAATATTAAAGTGTGTCGTGCTAGTCGGTAATTAGTTGCTGCCCAGCAGGTGGGTGCCTGGGCCAGGCAGTACCAATTGTGACTCTCCTCCCTGGACTGGAGCTGGGGCCGGCCCACTGGTTTCTGGAGGTGGAAGAGTGTGGAAGGGAGGTGGAGCGTGGGGACAGCCCTCATCTCCGCCCCGCCACACCCTCACCCGCAGCTCCCACGGCAGGGGCTTCCCTGCATCCTCCCTTGGTCTCCCTGTGTTTCTCCTACAGTGTGTGTGTGTGAGTGTGTGTGTGAGTGTGTGTGGGTGTGAGTGTGTGTGTGTGCGCGTGTGTGTGTGAGTGTGTGTGAGTGAGTGTGTGTGTGTGAGTGTGTGTGTGAGTGTGTGTGGGTGTGAGTGTGTGTGTGTGCGCGTGTGTGTGTGAGTGTGTGTGAGTGAGTGTGTGTGTGTGAGTGTGTGTGTGAGTGTGTGTGGGTGTGAGTGTGTGTGTGTGCGCGTGTGTGTGTGAGTGTGTGTGAGTGAGTGTGTGTGTGTGAGTGTGTGTGTGAGTGTGTGTGGGTGTGAGTGTGTGTGTGTGCGCGTGTGTGTGTGAGTGTGTGTGAGTGAGTGTGTGTGTGTGAGTGTGTGTGTGAGTGTGTGTGGGTGTGAGTGTGTGTGTGTGCGCGTGTGTGTGTGAGTGTGTGTGAGTGAGTGTGTGTGTGTGAGTGTGTGTGTGAGTGTGTGTGGGTGTGAGTGTGTGTGTGTGCGCGTGTGTGTGTGAGTGTGTGTGAGTGAGTGTGTGTGTGTGAGTGTGTGTGTGAGTGTGTGTGGGTGTGAGTGTGTGTGTGTGCGCGTGTGTGTGTGAGTGTGTGTGAGTGAGTGTGTGTGTGTGAGTGTGTGTGTGAGTGTGTGTGGGTGTGAGTGTGTGTGTGTGCGCGTGTGTGTGTGAGTGTGTGTGAGTGAGTGTGTGTGTGTGAGTGTGTGTGTGAGTGTGTGTGGGTGTGAGTGTGTGTGTGTGCGCGTGTGTGTGTGAGTGTGTGTGAGAGTGTGTGTGTGTGTGAGTGTGTGTGTGTGCGTGTGCGCGCACGTGTTATTCTGAGGGAGGAATAAATCCCTTCGACCCCACCCCCAGCTCCAAGTGGCCAGGGACCCTCTTCCCAGGGAAGCTCTCATTGGGAGAATCAACCTCCTTGCCATTCTGGAGTCTAAGGCCTTTCCTGCGGAGGAAACCCATCTTTTCCCCAGTTCAGCTTCCAGTTCTGTCTGACCAGGTGCCAGATGCCACGCCCTCCCTCCCCACACACCTCGGTCCCCAACCTCCTTCCTAGTGCAGAAGCAGGCGGGTGTCAGCATACCAGTGCATCGCAGAGCGGCTGCAGACTGAGTGGTCTGCTGGGCCTCACACAGGCCAGGACATAGAGCAACACGGGACAAGGAAGGGATCAGCTTGGGTTCCTGCCTCTGAACCGACGGGTAGAACAGACACTTCTCACCCAGAACCACAAGATGGCAGCAGCAGCCCACCAGCCAGCAGCACAGCTCTCTGAGCCAGGCCAGGCTGGACCAGCGCGTCTCAGCCCCTGGGAGCTCCTCACATCCCCAGGCGGAGGGCAGGCGTGGTGTGTGTCCAGCCTGAATGCCACGAAACCCAGTAGTGGGCTGGGGGGATTAGGAGCTGTCAGAGTTCTCTTTCTGCCTCATCGTGGGACCTCGCTCCCCAAATGGGGGACAGCATGTTTTCTTTTCTGGAGGCGGGGAGAAGGAGGTTGTTCTAGGAAGGTGGAGGGAGCAAGGACTCTACTCCTAGCAGCGCCCTGTCCCCCTGCTGCTCCAGTCTGGCCAGACACTCCGTCTCTCTCGTCCTCTGGGCTGTGCCTGGACTCACCTATGACTCGCGCCAGCAGCAGTGAAGCACATTCACCCCATTTGTGGGAACCTGGAGGCATTCAGGGAAGCCGGGGAGAAGGGCCATAGAGCACTGGCTCGCTCCTCTCTGCTCTTGGAGATGGAGTGGAGAGACTGTCCCGGCGGAGATCTGTCCGTCCGGAGGCCCTGACAGTCCTGCAGGCGCATTGCCAAACGTGCCAGGCCCTGGCTGCTCAGCGCCCGGTGCTGAGAGAAGAGCTGCTGGTGCTTGGGTGAGCCCGGTCCTGGGCATGGCCACTGGGTTTACTTTCAGGTTCTGGTGATAACGGGACAATGAGGGACGCAGGGGCGAATGGCCTGAGGAAACGAAAAGGCTTACTGGGTTTGGAGGAGGGTCTTGGGGAGAGGAGCTCTCAGAGGGCTGGGGTGGGGGCCCAGGGTGCGGCCGTGGTGGGATCCTGGTGTGGGAGGTGTCTGCGCCAGGGTCCCAGCAGGAATAAGATGAGCGTGGGGCAGAGTTAAGGAAACCAACCAGGGGCCTGAGGCCCTGGCAGCCGTGGGACATGGTCACACGCAGGCAGAAGGAGCGCAGGCGGCAATGGGCTGTGCAGGGGGTCCTCCGGGCAGGAGGGTCACCGAGGGCCAGCCACTGCCAGAACCTCAGCCGCGTGAGGGGTGGGGAAGGAGAGGTGCCCTGTCTCTCCCTCCTTCTGCCCCCTGGTCTCTTACTGATGCCACCCATTGGCCAAACCCAACCAGAATCCTGTCCAGGTAGCAGAGGAGCCCCCACAGGGCTCAGCTTTCCAGTGCACACAGCAGGGCGAAGGAGGGCAGAGAATGGGTGGGAACAAAAGCAGATGGCGAATGTGCTGCGCAGGAGGAATCAGTCCGGAAGGGCACTGCGATTCC